TTCCCACGAAGATCCCCCAGGAGGCTTCTCGAGGATTGGTCGCTGAGTGGCAACCAGAAAACACCTCTAGTTATCGGAAAACTAAAAGAGACAGAAGGGCGAAGAGAGGGAAGATACTACTACTCACCAGAATGTAAAAAGAAGTTTTTTTTCTGGAAAACTTGAAACGACTCCTTCCAGAATGTTCAGAAACAAGGATGAGTCTGCTGGCCTTAAGACTCCGGTGAAATGGTTGGGCAGTTGACAAACGGAAGGAAAGGGATCTCCGGCGAAGTTTCAGGCAAGGGTTCTCTGGAGAAAGTTCGGAATGACGAAATGAGAAAAGAAGAGAAGAAACCCATTTATATATAGTATCTATCCCATCATTGGGCGCGAAGCACGAAAAGGCGCATTTAATGTGCACGACGTCCTAAGCAGGGGAAAACGGTTAGAAGCAATGATGAAGCGATTGAGGTTGTTGTAGAACCCTTCGTCTCCTTACGACGCCTGTCCTCGGTGTTAGATGATCGAAGGCTGGGGGGCAGTTGATGGGACATTTCTAAAATACTCCAAGATGAAGACACGTGTCCTCGGTGTCACTAAATTCTTGTTACTGTGATCACGACACGTACCCATTGGTTCACAAGTTCCTCTCCCCCAAGGTACTGGTCGTAGGGATCAATGGCATCCAGTACGTTTACGTATCGACACGTATTCCTCGGTCGGGGATATGGTACATCGGTCCCTATATGTACCTCCCTCTCGGCTCCAAGATGTACCTCCCCCTCGGTTCTAAGGTGTACCATCCAGGATGGCATTCTCTGCTCCCGCAGAGGCTATTGATGTACAGGTCACTAGCCTAGGCTAGACTAGGTTAGCCATCATGACCTCGTCTTACACAATTGGTGTCAGAAGGCACAAGAAGGCAGAAGACGCAGCCAATGGGGAAGGGGCACGTGACATATTGTGTCACATCAGAGACAAAAAGACCGGATGTCCTTGCTGACACACAACTTGGGAAAGACAAACATTTAATTAGGTCATTCCCTTGATGAGACAACATTTAATGCGGTAAGGCTCGAAAGAGAAAGACAATAAATGTCCTTGATACTGGGCATTTATTACTCTCTTGCCGAGAAGAACTCATTGAATATTCGGCAGGCCGATGACGATGCATTGATTGCTCGGGGTCCCGAGCAGTTAAAAGAGAAGACATTCCTCATAGGAATCAGTGCGCACGTTGCCTGTACTTAATGATCACCTACTAACCACACTGACAGCAATCATGAGTTTTTGAGGTATAAATAGTCCTCGCAAAAGGCAAGACGGTACGCAACAAAAAACATTTCCTAAAACTTATACTCAGTGTTTTCTTCTTCCCCCCTCTCAAATACTGACTTGATCGTCGGAGGGGATACGCCAGAAAACACTTCAGCGCCCTTCTAACTTGCCTTTCTTTGTTTCAGGAACCTTCTTCAGCCTTACTGGATCGCTCTGTTGATCCACGTGGGTCTTCCATTATCGTTTCAGGTTAACACAGGACCTCACAGACTGTTTCCAATAGCAAGGTTGACAATTTGATTGATTGACTTGACTTCACCACATGAGAGATTTGTTCTCGTATTTATATTACGTAAGATCTTGCACACACACACAATACAAAACAAAAAAAAAAACACAATATAAAAAAGATCGAGTCCTATGTTTCTGAAAGGACAAGGTGGGATATCACTTTATTATTATGTTTTTTCCGTTAGTGGTTGCACATAGCATGTCATTATAATGACCGGGCTCACTGTATGGTTTCTTGTTGGACATGTCATCAGTCATGTAAGGCACGAGATTTTCTGTTTTCAAGTTCAGAACTGCATTTATTTGTTTGCTTCAACGTGTGAACTATAAATAGAAACTATATAATACAACAAAAATTTTCTAAAATAAAAAATAAAATAAGTACCTCTATATTAATGAAATTGTCATAAAAATATATAAAAATTCTCTAAAATAATATCATATATACAAATGCATCTGGAAAAAAAAATATTAATATAATTTATTGAAATATATAATCTTTAGGCAATAAATAAACTCTTGCTCATTTATAAGAGTTACAAATTTATTACCTCTACTACCACTCAATCCAATAACACAACATAGTAATAAACTTAACTGTCATATTTTCAATCCATCATATCCCCATGTGATAAACACCTCAAGCAAAAAACAAAAATTACTAACAAAACACAATTAAATTCACAATTTTTAAGTGATAAATAAAATTAACTAAATTTTACTCATTTATAAAACTAATGAATTTATTACAACTATCATCATTCAACTCCAAATGACATAATATAATTATAAATTTAATCACCAAATATCCAATTCTCCACATATAAAATATACATAGTAACACACTCCCACACATTTCTTTTTTAGTTACTAGCAAACATTTCTAACCAATAACTGTTTTTATTATAAATACAATAATTTCAGTTTTTAAGATGAAATAATAATAAATTAATGTTTCATTAAAAAATAGGGTAAAAATCATGGACATCCCTTGAATTTTGACAATATTACATAAAAACATCCTAACATTTTATAAATAATATAGAGACCCCTTGAGGTTTGAATTCATTTCACAAAAACCCACTTTTGTCTCCTTTCTTCAACGTTGATAGCGAAAATTGATAATTTCATTCTAAATTTTTTTATTATTTTTACAATTACCCTTATCCAAATTTAGTTAAAAAAAAAATAAAATTTAATTTAGTGCCCAAAAAAGTAATATAATTTACTAATTCAAAAAATTGATTAAATGAATTTCAATATTAATTTGATAACAATAAAACTTAATTTGATATTAATTCAATAAAATTGAATATGAATTGGACAAAATTAAATTTTAATTTGTGATAAAATTATATATTAATTTACAATCTAAGGTTCATTTTGTATTAAATATTATTTGATTTTTATTGTCAATGTGATATTTTTTATTTATATTAAGTGTTATTTATAAGGGTTCATCTCATTTTGCATCCCGAAAGATTGTTCGAATCTCAATTTACACCCTCAAAGATCAAAAATCTCAATTTACACCCTCAAAGATAGAAATTTGTATCAATGTGCACCCCCAAATATCAAAAATCTCAATTTGCACCCTCAAAGATAGAAATTTGTATCAATGTGCACCTAAAATTAAATTGATAAATTATACCTAAATCCCCTCATATTTGTCAGTTAATCATTTAGACCTCTTCACATTTAAAATATTACTCCTACATCTTATGACATTTGTGCACGTATAACACGTAACTCATTTTCATTGATATCTATTAATATAACTGTTAAAAAATATAATTTTATCCTAATAAAAAATTATAATTTCATATTACCCTTTATTTTATAGGTTCAATATACTATAAAGTTCAAAATCTAGTTTACCATTTGAATGTCTAATAAAATATAAATATTTATATAAATATTTTTCATATTACCTTTTATATAAATATCTACATTTTATTAGACATTCAAATGGTAAGCTTGATTTTTAACTTTAGAGTATATCAAATCCACAAAATAAAAGGTAATATAAAATTATAATTTTATATTAGGATAAAATCATATTTTTTAACGATTATATTAATATATATCAACGAAAAGTGGTTATGTGTTACACATGCATAAACGTCATGAGATGTAAGAGGAATATTCTAAATGTGAAGGAGTTCAAATGATTAAGTGACAAACATGAGGGGATCAATGTATAATTTATTAATTTAATTTTAGGTGCACATTGATACAAATTTCTATCTTTGAAGGTGCAAATTAAGATTTTTTATCTTTGGGGATGCACATTGATACAAATTTCTATCTTTGAGGGTACAAATTGAGATTTTTGATCTTTGGGGGTGCACATTGATACAAATTTCTATCTTTGAAGGTGTAAATTGAGATTTTTGATCTTTGAGGGTGTAAATTGAGATTCGAACAATCTTTTGGAGTGCAAAATGAGATTAACCCTATTTATAAATTAAGAAACAAATGTCAAAATACATACCGTCAGATATATAAAAACTTTGATTTAGTTTTATGGAACAAATAATTGTATAACATGTAGTTTTATCTGTTTTATAGAATAAATAATATCAAAAATAACACATGAAAAAAAAAGTATAAGAGAGAGAATAAGATAGATAGAGACGAGAGATAAGAGTCTTAGAGTTGTAAAAAAAATGAATTTCTAATTAAGAACATCAGATCAAAACGATGAAAAGTTCAAAACAAAAAATCTAACTACTTATAGATATGTGAAATATTATTCGAAACTAAAAATTTGTTCTTATTTGCTGATATAATGATATGACTTCATAAGAATTATTAGATTAACATTAAATTCTAATGTTTAATATGGTCTACGGTGAATAAATAATTAATACTTAAATTATAATTACATTTTTAAATAAATGTCAGAAAAAAAAAAGCAGAGATAAATATTCGCACTATTCCCCCGTTTGGGTATTATTCGCAGAATATGTTATATTTAATTGGATCACATTTTACATTCCAAAATATTTTAAAATTTTCAATTTACACCCTTAATACTTAATATTTCTACATTTCACCATAAATATCTTAAAATAGTTTCAAACTAACTTTGGTTACAATTTTCATCAAATGTAATATGTGACACCCGCACTAGCTATAGTGAGATTGGATAGAAATGGCAATTGAAGTTAATGTGATAGTTACATTGTAACTATTTTATAATATTAAGGGTGCAATATAAAAATATTAATTATTTAGTATGGAAATTAAGAATTTTGAAAAGTTTCCGGGTGCAAAGTATGATTCACGTTATTTATTTAACTCTGTTTCATTGACAAGTTGCGCGTTTTGTTGGTCCGTAATAACTGCAAGTCTGAGACCTACTTTTCACTTTTCAGAGAGCCAAACAATCGATTTCTTAGAGACGAAGGGAGAGGGACTGAGAGAGAGAGAGAGAGAGAGAGAGAGGGGGGGGGGGGGGCTTTGAATCTCGGGATTTTTCTTGCTAAAACCCTTGAAATTATGGAGGTGATGCAGTGTTTTTTGAGAAATTGAGTACGAATAATCGTTGATGGCGGAGAAGAAGAAGATGAGAAGCGAAGCCAGTAGTAGTAATAGTGGTACCAGCAGCGGGGGAAATAACAGAGGCGAAAGCGTTGTGGTTGATGTTGGCCGGCGCAGAAGCTCCTGCGGCTATTGTAGATCCGGTGGACGTACCAGTATTTCCCATGGTCAGGCTTTTAATTATACGCATACCTACCTATTCATGCATATTTTTCCATTTTTATCTCTGTCTAGATATATGTATTGATACATATTGATTGCTAGAATTGTGCAGTTCGGTTGTTTTTTTAATTATCTTCAATCAGGCTAACGGAGGGAGGAAGTGAATTCTGTGACGGGGGAATTGTGTGCTGAACTTGTTAATGAATACGAATCATTCAAAATTGAATGGAATTCAAGTTTATCTGATACAATTCAGCAATTATGCGACATTAGTAAAATTTAGACTACAGAAGAAAATTGTTATTGTGGGTTATTAAGATGATTTCTTGTGACCTTTCTAATGCAAAATGCTAAGACACAGCACATGCATGTAAGTTACACACTGGAGAAAGGAACCTTGTATATTATCGATAGTTAGGGGGGACAAAATGATCTCTATGGCATTCTCTTTAGGGATTTTTCTCTGTTTTTGAATTTGCTATCTGTTCAGCCTTAGATATTACAATCGAAAGAGAACCAAAAGAGCATAAGGGGTTAACTAGCTACATTGCTTATGATAAAATTTCCACTTTGGCACTTTGTGTAGGAATACTTTTGAACATCTGCAGGTATGAGTTATGTATTTGAGTTATTATGTATAAAAGTATAGGCCATACACATAGGCCCTCATGGTGCAAAATTTTCACATAATTTATATTTATTATATTCTTATGCTCTGATTTTTCAGGTCTATGGGCACAGAGTCTTACAGTTGATGACTATCAAGGTTGGTTACTTTGTCTTCAAATGTATTCCATTCCTTGGGCACTTGCATGCATACACAAAGCTATGATCTGTAATTAATTAATTGGTCATCATTGTAGTTACATTGTGTTGACCTTATTGGTTGACTAGATAAACAATGATGTTAGTTTAAGAGTGTGATGTGTCCTTGTCATGGTTTCTACCAACTAGATTCTAGGTCACGTGGTATTGCTTGCCACTTTTATTCTCTCTCTCTCCCCCCCCCCCCACAAAAAAAAAAACATCACACACTCAGACAGAGGGGGGAAAAGTAGAGAGAGAGAGAGCGACATTGGTGCAACTCTAATCGTGCTCTCCATTAGCAAAACTCACTGTTCATTGTTGATTGGCACAATTCATTAACCGCTTGAGTTGATTTGCTATGGTGGCTATGAGAGAACCTTTGATATAACTTGATTTGTTTCAGATATTTAAGGAAAAGTATAATATATAGAAATGGAACCTAAGTGTTGTTTAGAAACATTTGGCACTTTAATCACCATTTGCTAATTGTGCAGAAATCTTTGTTTTGATTGTTGGGAGTCTTTATCGTCTTTATTAGTTTAACTATGTGAACTTTGGGGCTTTTCAATATTTCCCATTTGAATCACGTTTGTGGTGTTCTTTGTTATTTGGCTACTATAGGATATTAGTTGTTTGAAAATTTTAGCCTTTTTTGCTACCTCTAGTTATACTTTGATGACCCCAATTCTTTCTGTTGTAGCTCTTCTCGACAAGGGTTGGAGAAGATCTGGTTGTTTCATGTACAAACCTGAGATGGAAAGGACATGTTGCCCTTCTTATACAATCCGTATGAAAGCAAGTGATTTTCTTCCTTCCAAAGAACAACTTCGAGTATCTAAGCGGATGCAAAGGTATTTCCATATTGACCTGTTTTCTCATATTTCCGATGCTTTGTTATCTATTCCCATGCTATTAAGTTGACATAGATATTATAGCAGTGCATACAGGCAAGATACTTCTAAAAGAAATCCATGGTATTGCATTTGTTGTCCTTGTTTTTTTATAAACTAATTTAAAGCTGGATTTGTCTGATTAGTGGGCTATGTGGATGTTTTGCATGACTTACCAAAAGCTTGGAAGAGGATATGTCCCCTGCAAAAGCTGCAAATGTGAACCTTTTTTTGTTTTTACTCGTCATAGTCAACATATATTGACGATTGTTTCTTGAATTGTTTGCCCTTCATTATTCCTTTTTTCTTTTTAATGTCAAGAATCACATGAAATTATGATATATACAGCTTTTTAAATTGAGAAATTGTTATGTTGGATTTCTTTGGAGCTTGAGTGGATTGTCAACTATTTAAGATTTCCCTTCCGAGCATCAACAATTCTGATGATGCCAACTCATCGACGTTCAGTTTGTTTATGGATCAAATAAGACAAAAAAGTACTAATGCCAGTATAACTAACTTTCAGGTTTTTAGATGGCTCATTGGTTGTGAAAAAATCAGATGAGTTAATGGAAGACTCAAATACGTCTAAGGATTCATGCGGCCGTTCCCATCATGAAAGTACAAGCTCAGCTGTGGAGGACCCCTTGACGGCTAATCGTGAAGAAAAGAGCAAAGAAGAACAATTTCTGCATTTTTTGTCAGATCAGATTGATACTGCAGTATGTGCATGTGGTGATAGTCGGGAATTTCCCTGTGATATTCAGTTACCAAAAGCTTCTGTAAAAAAAGTTGCACCAGCCAAAAAGAAGTTACTAGTCAAAGGGACTGAGGATCTGTTGTACTCCAGCAATATTTCATTCCAGATGGCAGCTGTTTTAAGGCGAGCTGCGAAGGACGTTCACTTATTAAAACTATCAAGTCACGGTGCTGAAGAAAATGGGCAATTCACTGAGCTTACGCCAAAAGTGATTGCAGAAAAACTGGCAAACTATTTAAAGCAGCTGGAAGAAACCTCTGGTTTGTTAATCAGAGCTTGCAATGGCCACATTAATTTCTATTCTACTAAAAGACAAGCTTGGTTAGATGATATAGTTGGAAAAGGTACAGTCTCTAAAGAGTCCCCCCAAGGTAGTGGAGGTAAAGAGAACCTTTTGAAGAAGAGCTCCGGGTGTCTTCCTGGAAAAAAACATAGGCTTGAAATTCATTTGAAAAGGTCCACCTTTGATCCTGAAGAATATGCATTGTATCGGACGTACCAGCTTAAAGTCCATAACGATACACCAGAACGTGTTACAGAAAGCTCGTACAGGAGGTTTCTAGTCGACACTCCCCTGATATTTGTTCCATCAAGTGGTGATGGTACAGTTCCTCCTTGCGGGTTTGGCTCTTTTCATCAGCAATATGTACTCGATGGTCGGGTGGTTGCGGTTGGTGTGATTGATATCCTACCTATGTGTTTGTCGAGTAAGTATTTGTTCTGGGACCCAGATCTTGCAATCCTATCACTAGGTAAGTATTCAGCCCTGCAAGAAATATCTTGGGTTAAGGAGAATCAAGTTCATTGTCCCAGCCTTCAGTATTATTATCTTGGCTACTACATTCACTCTTGCAACAAGATGAGATATAAAGCAGCATATCACCCATCTGAGCTTTTGTGTCCTCTTCGTTACGAGTAAGTTTCGTTTTTTTCCTTGTGCAGTTGACTATTAAATTTTGCTGGGTAAAAAATTCATGGAAATCTTGGAACTTTGTACAAGATCCTGGTTTGTTGGTTTTTTTATATGGGGAGATTCAGAGCAACTATTATCTGAATCTCTGCTTATCGGAGTTCTCTATTCTTCATCTTGGTGCATTACTAATGTTTAGTTGCTTGGAGATAGATACGTAAGGGATAGTCAATACTTGGACTCCATGATTTGGTATTTTAGGCAGCAATTTGTCTTTGATTTTCTTTATCTGTATTAACCCGGGAAAATCATATAATGCTATGTGATGTAATTTTCTGCTGTGCCAGTTGGTACTTATTCCGTGGCCTAACTGGGGCAAGCATACATCATTTGATAGAGCGCTGATTGGCTTCTAAAGGTACATGTAATCGTTTTGAATAGTTGGGAATCTTGGGATTAAGGCTTTGGTAAAGTTGGGTTACGTGCTCAACATCTCAACACGTATCTCACAGACGTGTTTGTACCCTGGACAGGAATTGCTATGCCCGTATTCATATTTAATCCTAAATCAGGTTGAATAAACTAAAAGTATGCAACTTACCAGACATATATTTCATCCTGCTTGATGATATTGTTACTTGAAATGTTGCCTACCAAATGAATTGCCTGAAAGGTGTAGTTGATGGGGTGAGAATGAGATAGCTCAGGCTGAAACCTAACTAAATCGACTCACCTGTGGAATGGGTGGAAAAGAAAATTGTGGTCACGTGGTTATGAGAAGTTACAATTTTCAAGAAGAGTGATAATCACAAGGATGATGAATCGCGCCTAACAAGATTGATGGTGTCTCAATTGAATTGCTATGCCTGTGAAATTATTTTCCGAGAAAGAAAAGGCATTTTTCTCTAGCTATCTAGTACATCACTTGATACCCAATGCTGTCAATGACAACTAACATTCCATTGACGACGCCAGTCTTTAAATATAACCAAATCTTCATTTTGCTACTTGTTGATTAATCATTTCAGGAATCCGTTGTAGGCTTGTTTCACAATGAAAATCAAAGTGTTACTAAGATGGCAGCCATCACAGGCTTCAGTCCTTTAACGTTCTTTTTCTGACTATCTCTTTTTCTCTAGGTGGGTTCTGTTTGATGTTGCAAAGCCATTGCTTGATAGAAAACCATATGTTGTATTGTCTGATTTTTCTACCTTACAAGATGGAGTGTCTGTGGCACCTAGTCATCTTCAAGATCATATGGAACTGGAAGATGATGACTCTGGTCAAGAAGAATCGCATGGCTTTCCTATTGATGATGATGATGAAATGGCTGAACTTGATGATGAAGATTCTGATTATGAATTGGGCCCAGAAACCAGTTGTTTGACACCATTGGAAATAGCCGGTGGAGATGTTGGTAATATTCTGATCGGGTTAAAGGGATCTCATCTGAGATATAAGGTACATATGTTCAATGCTTTAAAATTAATTAGTTTCAGCACCTTTTTTTTTTTTTTTTAAATTTTCTTTCAAATTAGTTTGGTACTTTGGTGACATTTATCTATCTGGTAGATATATGCTCGTTCAATTGGAATTGAAATCCTAAAAGAAATGAATCGAAGTTCCGGTTGCCAAGAAAAGATAAAGGGAAAGCAAAATAGCAAAACAATAGAACTAATAGTGATTGGGTCCTCTATTACACTTGCTTTTTTCCCGTTTCAAGCCCTAATTTCAGCCCATTCCTAATCTATCGCCAGCGATAGAATTTATCATCCTGTCTTGTGCAGTATGTCTCTTGTATTACTGTCTCAACCAGAAGAAAATTTAGTTAATTGTGCCCTTTGATGGGAAGGATTGGGAATCTAAGCACTTGATATCCGGTGCAACTTCTGTGGAGAATTGGAGAAAAAAAAAGGAGAGAGACCAATATGTGGTGAAACTTTTTCATTTGTTCTTTTATAGTTTGGCTATTTGTAATCACATTTTTTTTCGGTCCGAAGGAACTACAACAAGCATTTGGTCCCATCGAAAGAAGTTACTTGGAAACCCAGTTGCAGAGATACATGAGTGCGGTGGGAGCAGAGCTCTCTGAGCGAATGGTTTATTCTCTTGGATGATTCCTCCAAAATTTGCACCATTTAAGGGATCTCGTTCAAAAATAATCGATTTATATTGGACAGTTGGAACAAAACATATCTGCAGGAGCCATCTCTGTTGAAACTGGAGAGTTAAAGTGAGCTTTTTATGAAGTCGTTATTTCTTGAGGATTATTTCAAGTACAAACTGTGGGGTTGTCTTCAGTTTGTAATTTAGACATTGACATTATCTGCCCGAAGTGTTTCTTCTTAAAATTCAAGTCCACAATCTTATGGTTAATTGAGTAACCATGACTTCGTGTACTGATTGTCTTATTTTATTGTTTGGGTTCTTGGGCGACGGTAGCTCAACTTGAAGCCATCTTGTCTGATACTCGTGTGTGTGTGTGTGTGGTCTGGAGAAAGCTATAGGATTTCCTAATCCTCCCGGTAGCTTGGAGTATTAAAAGCATGACTCTTGCTTTTCAATTGACTGTTTTTGCATTAATTGTGCGCATGCACTTGTGCGTGTTTCCGTAGTAGGAATGGAAGGAGAGAGTTTTGGTTGTTTTGAAGTTTCGACTGCTCTGAATGGTATCACCACGCATAAACTATTTCTGTTGCCTTATCGACTTCTCGGAATCATACAATAAATAATATTAAGGATTAATAGCATTTTTGGTCCATAATGTATATATTTTTTTTATCAATTTAGTTTTTATCATATTAATTTTATTAATTTGGTCTCTAAAGTATTCAATTCATGTCAATTTGATTCTTACAAAGATGGACAGTTAAGTTTTGAAGGAAATTATCACCTGTTGGGCATGCGATATCTTTTAAAAAAATGATACGTGATCATTTTTATCAAAAAATTTGGCAGATTGTTTGATTAGAAAATAAAATGACATAGATTGAATATTTTAAGCACTAAATTGATATAATAAGAATTAAACAAATAAAAAATAAATATTTTAGGGATCAAAAGTGCTATTAATTTTAAAAGTTTAAGTTGTATAGAACTTATCATGATTAATTTTTACCCAGCCCAACATATGCAAGAAATGCAATAGGACTTGCGAGATTATTATAGGTCCATTGTGGTCACGTTATAGAAGGTATTGTGAGAAAGCCGGAGTTAGAGGCCTAGTCATAGAAGGTTTTGCAAGACAGTCCGTGGTAGTAAAAAATATTGGGTTTAATTATTATATTATGCCAACAGTGTTACATGGGATTATTAACTAATAATAAAATTTTAAATAGATAAAGTGAACATTATATAGATGGTTATTGATTTACATTGAAAAAGAGTGAGTAATTGTCAGCTTACATGAACAAGTAGTTATTGACTTATATGAGATTCGTTTTTTTATTTATTTGTATATTATTAGTTGATAATACCATGTGACAATGTTGACGTTCTATTACTGTTACAATAAATATTTTTTCTTGCAACTGTGTCCAACAAAAATATATAACCACCTACCCATGTAATACAGCGAATCCTACAAAAAATTTATAACTACTTACCTATGTAATGTATAACCACATCCATGATAAAAAATAGGTCCCATTTTATTTATTTTCTATTGTTTTATTGGATAATTATATCACATTTGTGCGTGCACGTTCTTGCACAATATAAACACAAAAACATATTTCTTCTGTGGTGAACACGAGTCCGTCGATCGAGTGGTCAATCTTACTACTTGGAATAGGCTGTGAGGGCCGAAGGTGGCCTAAGAAGTGGTGATGAATTGTGTTTTATGGGTCGCCTGACTGGTCCTGGGAGGCTAAGAGAGGTTCCTAGAACAGAAAAAAACAGGTTAGAAGGGCGCCGGAGTATTTTTCAGCGTATTCCCTTCGACAATCAAGTCAGTTCTTTGAGAGAGGAGGAGAAGAAAACACTATATGATCCTTGAGAAAGGGTTTTTGCGTCCCTCTTTAATGTGTTTGTGAAGACTATTTATATCTTACAAAATTCATCATTGCTGAAAGCGTAGTTAGTATGTAATCATTAAAGGTGGGTAGTGTGCACACTAATTTTTATGAAAAATGTCCTCATTCTTAACTGTTCGGGACCCCGAATAACTAATACTTTCTCTTCGGTCTACCGAGTGTTAAATGACCTTCTCTTGACAGGGATGTATTAAATGCCCAGGCATAAGAACATTTATTACCTTTCACTTTTCAGGCTCTTATGCATTAAATGCTGTCTCATCAAGGGAAGGATGCATTAAATGCCTGCCCTCTCAAGTCATGTGTCAACAAGGGCATTTTGGTGTTTTTGTCTTTGACCTGACACAATGTGTCATGTACCCATTCCTCTTTGATTGAGTCTTTTGTTTTCTTGTGCCTCCTGACACCATTTGAGTAGGACGATGTTATGATGGTTAGTCTAGCCTAGCCTAGACTAGTAATTTGTCAATCAATAGCCCCTGCAATAGCAGAAACGCCCACGTGGACAAATACACTTCGGTGCCGATGGACTACCATGATTAGGGACCGATATACCCAAACTGACAGAGAGATACGTGTTGGTCCATGGCGTATTGGAGATCCTTGATCCCTGTGAACAGTATTTTCGAAAAATGGGGTTATAGGCCGACGAGGACGTGTCGAGATCACAGCAGAGAGTCTCTATTAGTGCCAAGTACACGTGTCGTCATCTTGGTGTATCTGAAAATATTCATCAACATTAACATTGTTAACATGATATAATTATTACACTCAATATTTCCCAAGGTATAAAGAAATATGTAGATTCATCACTGTTCGACCCTTAATGGGCATTATGATTGGTGATCTGCTGCTGCCTTTGCCCTCACGGTGCAGGCAACCAAATTCTTGATGAGTTTGGCTGTTGGTGGCAGAGCTAGGTTCTGCGTGTGGGTGGGTCCTCATTGGGCACCAGAGACATAGCTTTGCATTGGAACACAATGAGATGACAGCATAATTTACAATACTATTTCTCTTGTGAAAATGTTTTCTCAATTTTACGTCCCAAATCAAATTGAATGACTAAATCAATGTCTCACTAGTTTTTTTATAGGATAAATTATATTTTGACCCTCCAATTATAATTCTTTATTCACATCACCCTCTTAATTACTTTGATTATTTCACATTATCGCAATCACAAACTTCCATTATTTTTTTGGATGAAAATTACTGACGTGTCAAGACAAAATGAATATATATATATATATATATATATATATATATATATATATATATATATATATATATATATATATATATATATATATATATATATCAGCTGCAAAATGAAATAACTTTCCATTAAATATATAACAGTTGTTGATACTTCCAAAATATAAAATTAATTACATAGTTAAGGATATAATGTGAAAAACATGACAGTTGAAAAAGCAATGTAAAAAAATGATCATAATTGAGGGTATCAAAATATAATTTGCCTTTTTTTTTTTCCATAAGAGCGATACTACTTGGACTTCAAATACTAACTTAATTAATCACTATCATTTGATTTAACTGAATCCTAATATTTATTATAACTCAATACCTATTTAATAGTTATGATTAATCAAGTTAGCATTTTAAGTTCAAATAACATTTTTTTTTCTTAATAAGAACTATTGATCCAATATTAAATAAAAACTCTCATAAATTGAAGAGTAGGCCAACTGTTTTCTCAGGTGGATCCACCAAAATTCCATTGGCCATTGTGTAAGATGTGTGGTTTCTCTTCGTATTCTTTTTTTCCTTTCTGAAAATTCTAGAATACTACGTAGACTCACAAAACAGAACTACATCACATTCTATAGCTACCTCAATTGAGAGACTCTTTAACACCAAAGCAAGTTCATAACACTTGAAATTGCAGCAAACATATATACAGATAGATGTCAGCTTAATCACAATGATCACAGACTTTGATACATCCTATTAAGGCAGCCTGAGCAAAGCCGCCCCTAAGGAGATATTATAAGTTCACTAATCCCCCAGTTGAATGGACACCGGGCCGCGCTTCGGGTTTTAACATATTTACACATTGAAATGGAAGATAATTAAGCACCTTTTTTATTCCCCAGTTAAGTTGCAATTAAGCATCATCAGCATCACTTCCACCAACATGTGCTTCATGTCCGGCCCAGTAGCTGCTTCCATCAGGTCCTGAAATCTTGTACCTGCTCAACAAAAAGAAACCATTTTGAAATTCACATAAGATGGCTCAGATTATGATTTTTAGATCCATAAATTTAGTTTTATACCAACCTCTCGAGGACAGATTTCCCTTCCTTGTACTTCTGGGACTTTTCGTGGGCAATCTCCTGAAAGCAACATCCACGTAACTAACAGGCATAAATGTGGAAAATTAAATGAAACATAATTTTAGACTCTCAGCTTCCTGAGCTTACATATTTCCATCCCACTATTGACCCACACCCAACGCAGAAGAGGTCAACAACAGAATGCAATCCAGTCGTCATCATTCTCTCTTCTTTCGCCCCAACAGTGACATTAGCTCTGTCAAAAAAGAAAGCGTGCATAGAAAATAGGTGCATCAGAAGTATATGTATGATATGGCAATGAAGACAAAGAGACCTTTATAAATCCTCATCTGCATTTAGTAAGCTTGCTCAATTTTGATGACGTGCAATTCCTGAATCATATTCCGCTCTCCCGTTCTATGCAGATTTACTACTATTATAACAGATGGAAAATGTGACCGAAAGACTGATGCTAACAGGCAATCAATGGCCATTTCTTTTGTTACATGGTAAACAATAATGTGTAAATACCCAAAATAAAATTGAAATATTTAAAAGAAACAACAAAAATAATTGTTCCCTTGGTGCAAACAAAGGAGAAAGAAACTTTTTCGGCTATAGGTGTGAACTAATTAATCAAGTTCCACTGGTCAGAGATAATGCAAGGGTGCCCAAATTACAGAACAACTTACACCTTATTGAAGAGATAAGCCTTCCCATGCTTGCAGTGGAAAGACTGGGAAAGAACAATGGGAAACACGCAGTTAGAGCATAACAAGGAAACTGAAAAAATAAAAAGGAAACTGAAACCATATTCAATATGCTAAGCCATCTACAAACTTGGAAACCAATGCTGCTACAAGCCTGAACACATCCACAATATTTTATGGATATCGAGAATAAAGCTTTCAGTCTTTCCACTCAATTCAGAACCCCATTTCTTCCAAATAAATAGTTGTGACTAGAAAGATAATTGTACGGATGTATCTCCATACAAACATGTGGATACAGGTGCATATACACATTTTCTACACTTGTGCAGTGTACTTGAGCAGAGTCAGACAATCAATTTTTGAATTAAAGAGTTATATATAATTACAAACATGTCATGGCAAGTTGGCATAATACCCTGGCCTGAAAAAGTAAAGAAACATCAGAAAGTGAAATCAATGGAGATGAAGAGAGAATTAGTTTCCAAGTCACTATAATCTTTGAGATAGCATTATACTTCTCCCTACTAAGGCACCAAGTAGCCAATTATGTTGTTCAGATCAATTTAAAGATAACCCACTGAACTTATTCAGTATTTGGTTAGGATAGAAAAGGGCACCAAAAGTTAATATTGTGCAAAGGTCCTTCGGCACAAATATAAGTAACTACAATGTGGAAAATTGCCAACTAGAAAAGTAAACAAACTAGAGTAAAAGGACTTGTTTTCGGGGGTAATGTTGGACTGACAAAGAATGAGACCAAAAAAGAGGACTAATTTATGTGCCGTTGATATGGTGAGCACAATTTGAATTTTAAATGACCAAAAATGCATTCAACTGTACCACCATGTTAGCATCACATCATTTGGTTCCTCTTTTTGGTCCCATTTTTGGCAAGCCTAAAATTATCCTTTTTCCTGCTGGTTAATGTTTTACCAAAGACAACTTTTAAGGAGGTGCTGTTCTACTTCTACCATTCTGGGAGGATCAAACTTGTAATCGGGATTTCAAGGTTACTCATCACCAAATAGCTTGTACGGGTACAATAAAACCAAATGCTGCCATTACTTTGAAGGCCAAAACCTGCAACAATCCCTAATTTAACGACCAGAAACACCGCCCATGGCACAAAACAACTCAATCACATCCCAAGAACTTTAGGTTGCTACAAAAATACTGTTTGGCCATCATACTCCATCTAATGCTATATTCTTCCCTTAAATTGTGGATCTAGATAGATCCCCAAAGCTTCCAAACTTTGGAGGTACAACAGAATCCAATTCTTCAATAAACATCCCAGATTGCGTATTGAGGAGAATTATTTCTGGAATCTACCTCAAAAAATGAAAGGCCCAAATGGGTTTTCTCGGTTTAGACAAATTGGAATCTATTAACAAACATCATAGATTCTCTCCCCAGGTACAAGTTCAAGAACAACTCATCAACAATTGATAGAAATTCATGCAATAATAAAGAAGCCCAATTATCCTCTCCAACTTAAACAACAAATATCCATTTAATTCATCATATCTGACAAATAATTCCTCTAACAAGTACCAAAATTGCCTATATTGGTCATACCAGGAGAATTGAGTGGTTAATCCCGAAAACAGAACAAAAAATTTAACAAGCAAAACCATATAATCAAACAAGAAAAGACTGATCTATCATGGATTGAGAACAAGATGGTCAACCTTGGAAACGATGTCTTCGCCGAGAGCAAGATGGGTTTTGCAATGCTTACAACTGTAGATCCTCCCCTCGAGAGTGATCACAAACAGCCTTCCCATTTCTCTTCTCTCTCTCTAAGAAATCACCTTCGTAGAAGAACTGACGTTACAAGAAAAAGGGGCTGTTATCACAATTCATACAAATGCAAAGACAATTACATTCACTTGGACCTTTTCTATAAAGCGGGCCTTCACAAAACGTGTATTCTACGTTCTCTCAATCACGGCGAGAAAATATTGAAGGTAATGGTGATATTAATAGTAATATTATATCGGTAATACTAATATGGTATTATTAATTAATAATAAAATATTAAATTAATAAAGTTAATCTTATTTGAATAATTATTTGCTTACATGAAAGAATAATGAATTTTTATTTGGAGAAATACTATGTAACTCAAAATTGTATTTTAAATGAATGGGGACCATTGGATGAGTAAATCCTATCAATTTTTTAAAATGAGATCCACTGATCCAATAGTCTCCTTTATTTGAGATGTAAATTTGGGTTACATAACATTACTATTTTATTTGATTGAGTAATGTCACATAAACTTAAAAATTAGATTTAATAATTATAATTATTGATTTTATTATGGATTCCAACAATTATTGGAATTTACTACATATTCAATTGTTGTGATTATCAAGTCTAATTTTTAAGTTTAGTTTTGAAATCCATATATCATTACTCTATTTGGTTATATAGAGGATTGATTATTAATTTTTGTGGGATATATTTACTTATTAGTTTTGATATTATTAATTTGTGATACTACATCAGTATTCTTATATGATATTACTGTTGTAATAAATATTTTTTCTCACATAGTATCACCAATATATAATAAAATCTTAAATAAGTAAAGTGAACTCTATTTGAGTAGTTATTGATTTACATCGAATAAGGGTCGGTAGTTATTAACTTACATGGACATGTAGTTATTAGTTTGTATGAGATCCATTTTCTTATTTGTTTACATATTATTAGTTGGTAATATCATGTCATTAATGCTAACGTACTATCACCGTTACAATTAATTTTTTTCCGTCTAGGACATGGTAATATTTCCTTTGTTTTTTATTACGCTTGTCAATTGTATCAGGTAAGACGGGTTCGTGTAAACTTTTAATGAATTCGTGTAAAAAATAATTTCATCCATACCTAATTCGATTATTAATTCATGTCTAACGAATCATATCATTTCGGATTTGTATGTGTATTTTTTTATTTGACTCTACTCATACCTGATTCGTTTATTAATTTTGTCTTGTCGGCACTCGTTTACGAAACGTGTAACTCAAAGAAAACTCAAACCTTCTCATTTTATGTCATGTTCATGTCATATTAATAAGTTGTGTTATATTTTGATAGTCTAAATTTTTATGCACTTTTATGTTTCTCTCCCTTTCCCATTTTTGACCTATAACATTTTAGGCGGTGCTAATCGGTGTAGTATTGGTGATAGTGTTAATTCAATAATCTATATCTATACTATTATAAAATGTCAAGAAAAATAATTTTTTTTAATTGACTATTATGTCTTTATAAAAAAGATTAAAGATCACTATCTTCTTATATGTATTTAGTTATGAGCAATGCTATTTTGATCAAATTTACTGACCTAATTCACTATAACATTTAAATTGACTGTGGGGTCTATTAAACATTAGAATTTGGTGGTGATCCAATGGTTGCTTTAAAGGCACATAATTATGTCAATAAATTAGATCAAATTTTTAAGTTCAAATAGTATTACTCTTTAGTTATACAATATCAATACTACACCCTATCAATTTTACCCTAACCATTTTTTGAAATTTAATCACATACTTATGTCTTTTGATCTTCTTCTACCACCCTTAAATAATGTAATGTACTCAATAATACCAACAGTTTTTCTAAATCTTATATTTAATCCTAAATCAATGACATACATGGATGTGATTATGTTAATCAATACATTATCTGCTATGTGGTGTTGAGGTTGAATCGTAACTAGCCACACCACTTACTTGACAAATGAATTCAATACCTGGTATAAGCAGGATTGGGCCAGTGTTTTAAAACCCGGCTTGGTCTGGTGGGTTGACTTGGTTAATTGGTGCTTAAATCGGGCCGATTCACTTATTAGATTGTTTGTGTCACAAAACTAGTGTAAACCCGCTGAACATGGTTAAAACCGGTGAAACGCTCAACCCGGACAAATTGTTGGGTTTTGCCCTAAATCGTTCCCAATCCCCCCACTGCCCTGACTTTGAGACGCTTCCCTTCGCCCGATTCTCTCTCTCTCTCTCTCTCTCTCTCTCTCTTTGAGTCTCTGTGCTGTGATTGCGAGCAAGCCAGGCTGCGTGCAAGGGTGAAGACACATTTGTTGTTTGCTTACTGAATAAACACGAATTCAAAAATTCGGAGTGGAGGAAAATAAAAAAATCCACGTCAATGCGAATTTTGAATATCAATGGACAGAAATTAAAATCAAGCTAATAAATTCGGACTCAATTTGTTAAACGAATTTTTTTTTTAAAAGATAAAGTTGAGTCTAATCCACACTCGAGCCCGGCCGAGTTGTGGCGGGCGGTGAGAATGTGTAAAGGTGCTCGCTCCACTCACAAATGTGTGGTACCTTTGAGGCCCAATTCATAGATCAAACTTGACATATATATATATATATGCACATATAAAATTTTTTCCCCAACTAATGTAGGATTGGTGTCAAATTTCGTATTACTTAACCTCTTATTTTCGCATTCAAAGAGGATCACTTTAAATCTTATTTTCTCATTCATCTCTTACTCGATTTGAGCAAGAGAATATGCTACACTATTTTTTTAACGGAGTAGAACATAAATTCATGAAAGTTTACTCAAAGTGATGAGCGGATCCCATTTTAATTTAAGCTCAAAATAGACTAAAAATTTATTTTGATCCAACAACAATGTCATTAATGATTCACTAGTATAAATAAGAATATTTAGGTGAAGGTTTAGGAAAATTATAAATAATTTAAATAGGAATAAGAATACACATGACAAAGTAAACGTAGCATATATAGAAAATAAATTAACAGAAAATTAATTTAACTGATTTGGACATATTTATAGAAATATTATAAATATACCAATGAGAAATAAATATGTATTAGATATAGACAATAATAGAAGAGGTAGAGCAAGTCTAAAATTAACTTTAAATAAAATTATAAAAAAGGCATAATAGCTTATAATTTAATAAAAAATGTGACACTTAATAGAGTCTAATATCAAAAGAGCAATGCTATTGAGATATAATTTACTGACTTAATTTGTTAACTTAATTTACTATGATTTTTATCTTGACTATGGACCCCATCAAACATCGGAGAAGATAAGTTAAGATTGGTTCATGGAAATTAGATGAGTTGAAACACGCTATTCTGTAGACACTTGAACACATGGGGAAGATAACCATGGTGAGAGAGTGGAAGTATAGCTTAATAAAAGTTTAAAAAATAGTACTAATAAACTAAGTCATAAGATGGAGACTAGCTCAAATTTCATTACTGGTTATAGAGTGAATAAGTTGAATAAATACCCTTAATTCTATGATGGAAAATAGTATTTAGCTATCCTTTTTAGCCCAAAAGGCGTATCTAATAGGTGAAGTGACCTGTTTTTTTATATAGCCCAAAATTCCCTCATTACCGATCAACGTGTGACTCGTTTGACACCTCAATAATCTCCCTCTCGAATGAGGCTTATAATAGATTACTATCACTGTTCTTTCATTTAGCACAAGAAGTCAAGTCCACACAATAGTTTGGGCCATGTCTCTTATATTACTTACTAGGCATGACTTTTCAGCCTAAAAGACATACCGAGTTGGTGAAGTGACACGCTCCCTTATATGGTCTAGAACTCTCTCATCATCAACCGATATGAGACTCGTTCGACACTTTAACACCTTGAAGTAGTATACTAGGATTTTAGTGATTATTAGTTTAAAGTTTAAGTCTTGCAAAAGAAGTCTTAGTTGATCACTTTCATAGGTTTTGTGAATGATTGTATATAATACAAGTTTATTATCAAGTAATCACGAGTCTAAAAAATATATAATTAGAACGATTTTCATTATTAAAAGAATGTTATTTAGGCAGGTTAAACGAGGACATCAACCCCACAATTCAATATAATTCTCGACCATTGCTTGGTTTTAAATATGAAAAGTAGGCTTCAATCATGCATTACACATCAGTCTAGAGGACAATAGCCTAATTTACACATCAGCTCGCCTTGATTTTTGTCCTATTAAAACATCTGTATGCCTCTATTTCTTTATATAATTGGAGGATGTTCTCCTACAGAGTCAATCTTGATTGAAGGTGGGAATGTTCTATTTGGTCACCATTTTTACTTTTATTCATAGTTTTCTCCCATATACACTCAATCGCCTCACCTCATGGTTTGTGATAATAGTCTGTTTAAGTTTGGACTCTTTTGCGTCCAAGACCCATCGAGCCCGCAGATAGTGGCCCAAGAAGTCCATCTAGGTAAACAAAAAAAAAAAAGATGAAAATTGAGGATGAGTCTCCCTAAATAGATTTATAATAACTTGAGTTTTAGAAAGAAACTTATTTGGGAATAAATATAAGTTTAAACTTATATGTAGGTACTTAAGTCCACTTATTTTTTAAATTTTAAAATAAAACTAATGGTGTTAGTTTTATCCGATTATGAAAAGTCACATAGGTTGGATCATTGATGTATATATAGAAACTCTCGATTGAGTTATATATAGAAACCGTTTATTAAATATCATGATAATTAACGGAAGTTTTATATGGAAGTTATGTATTCTGATAGTTATATATGGAAGTTTGATGTACGAATAAATTCTTGGTTTATTAAGTCAAAATTAGATTATAAAATTTCTTTAACAATTCAACATTTACTTAATATTAGTGTTAATATAATAACACGAATGAGATTGTTTTCCTTAAAATACTCAATACCCAAAATGAAGAATTCAACAATTTCAAATAGTAATACAAATCCAACCTCAATTTCAATTTTGCTCTTCAAGTTTATTGTGGAATTCATTGACAAAGTTACAGTTAATTCTTTGCATTCAAAATATCTTCACAACTTCGAGATTTAGAAATAGAGTTAAAGTATGTGATTTTATTTGAAAGTTGATGTTCATTGTAAGGTTTTAAAAAACTTTTACATAATCT